CCCTCAGGTACAGCCTTGATCTCTGTACGCCTGTTTGCCAGAGATCTAAACGGGTGGTGCGATCGCAAAGGTCACACCGTCCACGGTTCTTGGATAACCCGTGAGGAAGAACGGCGTTCTTTAACTCGGAAAATCCACACGTGCAAAGGGTAAACCCTTTTGCCTGAATTAGTGCCGTCACCGAGGTTATACTTGCAGCTGACCCGGCGTGAGCCATCTCGGACACCCGGATACCACTGTAAGATACCCGCGAGTGAGCACTACCCCCGCACACCAATCATGGGTGCACAGTCGCCAATGTTCAGTCACGGCCAGGATACGTTCCTACAGTTCGTGCACAATGTGCTGGAGTCTGCCGCTTGGTGGGATTCGTCCACCATTTGGCTGCCAATGTTTTGGCATACTCTCACAGCTGTGCTATTCTTCGGACTAGGATGGGTATCCTCCCGACAAGCATGGGAACGACTGAAGCTTAGCTGGATGGCCCAGCTAGATGCAGCGCAAGGCCATATCGAGGCTCTGTTTAACCAAATAGTCGACAAGGATCACCAGTTAGGGTCCGCCCGCGAGCAAGTAGGATCCCTCAATCATGAACTGGAGGAGACGGCCAAACAGTTGGATGCATTCAAGGACCACACCAAGGTTCTGAAGGCTCAACTGGCCGAAAAGGAAAGTCAGTTGCGCACGGCTCAAGATCGCATTGCAGATCAAGCGGCACAACTGAGTGAGAGGGACCAACAAATAGTGCTCATGAAAACTGGACACGAATCCACAATCAGACTAATTAAGGAAGAACGGATTGCCCATATACAGTCCCTAGAGGAGCTCGCTCGAGAGGACTTGGCCAAACTGGTGGTGGATCTAGGGAATGCGCACGATTCCCAGGTCCGAACTCTCAAGGAGGAGCAGGCTGCACGTATACGGTCTCTCGAGGAGCAAGCTCGAGAAGATCGGGCACAGTTGCAGACATCCATGGGAGCCGGACACGAGTCCGAGATTAGAATCCTTAGGGATGAACAGGTTGCTCGCTTAAACTCCCTTGAGGAGCGCGCCCGAGAGGACCTGGCCCAATTGCGAACGGTCCTGCAGAACGGACATGAATCTGAGATAAGGATCCTCAGGGAAGAACAGACCGCTCACATAAAGTCCCTGGAGACCCGTGCTCGAGAGGACGTGGCAAAGTTGCAGATCACTCTTGAGAGGGAGCGATCTGAACACGCCAATAGATTGGATGTCCAGAAGGCACACTATGAGGGTCTGTTGGAACAGAGGAGACTGGAGTCTCAGGAAGAGTTGAGTGAGTCCCAAAGGATTGCTGACGATGAGATCCAGCAACTTAGGACTGACCGAGTCAATTTAGTCATGGACAAAAAGGCTCTCTCCGATCAGGTCCATGAGACCAAGCTTTTGTGTAAAGCCGCACAGGAGAAAGCCGCCCAAGCCGAGACTGCTCTGACTACGGTCACTGAGGAGCTCAGAAAGGCGCAGTCCACTGCGGACTACCTCTTAGATCGCAAACGCGACCCTACCGGTGAGGTTAGCCCGACTCCTAGTTCGAAACCCGCACTCCGGAAAAAGGAGCCCGATACGCCCAGAGATAGAGGCAGGATTTCCCATACGGAGAGCCCTGCCAGGCATCCTAATGGCTCTACTGAGCAGGATGACCTGGACCTCTACCGGGACCCGGCTTCGCAGTCGGAGGACGACTCGGACTCAACGGTGCCCATTCCGGTCAATCCGGTGAGCGTCACTAATCAAACGGTGACCATAAACAACAACAGGCCACGCACGAAAACTGTCGTGGAGAATCGCCCTTGGCGACAGGAGGAGTGCAAAGCCGTTCCTGAAGAGCTCGGTCCATTGACCGAGAAGAACTTTGTGCAGTGGGCCACCACTGCTACCACCTCTTATGCGGGGTTGGAAGGTGAGGATCTCACCATGTTGGCTCGTAAGTGTGCCACTGGAACTGCCCTTGCTGACATTAATTCAGCAATATCTTCCGGGAACTTGGTTCGAGCCACAGGAGAGGCATGGATCACGCAGGTGATCACCTATCTGAATCCTGAGTATTGTCTGACCGAAATCTTTCACAATGAAAAGCAAGGTCCCTATGACGATCCGGAGGTCTATTTGGCTAGGAAACAACTGCTAGCGAGGGTATCTGGGATAGTGAACGGCGCCGTCGCCCCCGTTAACTACAATGTGCCCGCCCTCACCCTAAACCCACAAGTTGTTGAAAGGATAAACTGGGTTACTTCCATGAATACCACCCGTAGTTCCTTGAAGAAAGAATGTGACACATTCTTTCCTCAAGGAATGCAAGTCCTTGCAGGTCCTCCATATATATAGGAAAGTTACATCATTCTCCTCTTCTCCATTTTATCTTCACAGTGGCCCTGTGAGATCTTTAGCACAATAACAATCATTCACAATCTTTTGCCACATAGGAAAATCCTGGTATGAAAGACTGCAATAAGACTGAGTGGACTCTTGGACTATGCTGCCCAAGAAACAAGGAATGTGACTAGGGAACCCCTGTACTTCTTAATTTGAAGAAAGTAATAGTCAAAAGCCCTGACCTGGATAGCTTGTCAGCCCTGGTTAGTACTTCCCTGGGAAAGCACCAAGGAAGTCCAAGGTTGTTACACAGAGTCAGGGAATGGCAAACCACCTTCTGTTTGTCTCTTGCCTTGAAAACATGACAGGGTCGCCACAAGTTGGCTGTGCCTTGATGGCATTTTCCACCACCAATAGACAAAAAGGAATGGTTAAGATTCCAGCATCCTTTCTAAAGATCATTTTCTTCCTGCCTCAGGGCACTCCAGCTGCCCTGATACAAGCTGAATCTGGTTTGCCTTCCATTAGGGCTTGTGTCTACACTGCCTTAATTAATTACAGAAGAAAGCTGAAGAATTATCCTAGTCATCTTTCTAAGCAGTGCTTTATCCAGCTCCAGAAATACATCTCTTGGGTTGCCAAATACCACAGGCTGTTACCCAGTACCTGCTGACCCCCAGGGCTTCCCTCTGGATGGGTTCAAAACTTGGGATCTGATATTCAATATAGATGCTGCCTTAGATAGAAGAACTACTATCAGGTCTAGATTTTCCCCATGGTTTAAACTGCTCAGACAGGATCACACCAAAGTTTCCTATTTGTCCAGCATCACCTTCCACAAAATTAGAGAAGCCTTTACAGCCCTCAGATTTCAAACAGTGACAACTGCCATGTCAGTTGGCCATTATCAGCATACACCAACTGCTCAGCAAGTATGTATCTGTGGAGGCCTGAAATTATGTCCTATTTTGTGACCTTTACTTGAGAGCCAGTTTGGTGTAGTGGTTAAGTGCGTGGACTCTAATCTGGGAGAACCAGGTTTGATTCCCCACTCCTCCACTTGCACCTGCTGATGTGACCTTGGGTCAGTCACAAGCTCTCGCACAGTTTGTGCCAAGAGTTCTCTCAGCCCCACCCACCTCACAGGGTGTCTGTTTTGGGGAGGGGAAGGGAAAGGAGTTTGTAAGCCGCTCTGAGACTCCAAGTGAAGGGCGGGGTATAAATCCAATCTCTTCTCTCTTCTCTTGATTCCCAGGGCCAGATTCCTTGCAGCCATTTTAGCCGAGCTAGCTTCACGTTCAATGGCAGACAAAATCATCTACCTCTTATCTGATGATGATGTTCAACATGCTGTATTCTCCACTATGTCCTGGTTCTGACAATTTAGCATTGTTTTTAACCTTGTTGTTTTTTTATTATTGCTTGAGCAGCTTGTCCTTATATTGTTATGGCTTTTGGCCTCATACAACAAAAATTCTACCTACCTACCTAGTTTTCAGTGGGAATGAACATGCATATGTATAAGCTTCTGGCAGTTTTATGTGATAAAAGATTCTTATTTCTGTTGGGAGCAATGGTACAAGGCTGGAGAGGTGAACCTCTCATTGAGATCGAGTAACATGGAACTTGGGTCAGCTGTATAACTGACATCCTACATCAGAAATGAGATATCTGCATGAATCAGGATGCAACAGTCACAGCTAAATGGAACTAGAGGTTGTGTACCTCTAAATGCTGGTTTCTATGTGGGTGCCAACAACAGCTTTGGCCTCTGTTTCTTTGGCCTCTATACCCCTGCTTGTAAACATTCTTGGGCACCTGAGTGGCTATGGTGAGAAACAGGATGCCAAACTGTACAGACTATTGATAAGATCCTGCAACCTTTATAACTTTCTTATATTAGTAGGAAAGAAAGAAAAAATAACACCCTGATATGCCTATACATAGATGGGGTATGTAAAAACATGGGTAACGCATTTCAACGGCCCCTCAGCCTCGGCCGTTGGGCCGGGGGATGGTTAGGCCGCCCAGAAAGGCGGAGGCGGGCAGGTTGCTTGGGCGCGAAATGCAGCCCATACAGGGACTCGAGGGAGGAGGGGCCAGATACAATATAAGGCTGGCCCCTCCTTGCCTCGTCAGCAGTCCCGGTTGTTCGTCGGACGAGGAGGAGCTCTTCAGCTAGGCCGGGAATTTCAGGCCTGCTTTAGGGGGATTTCCCATCTGGAGCTCCTCTTCAGGATGGTGTGGGGCCGATACTGCTGCCTGGGCTGGTGGGAGCGGTGCTGAAGTAACCGGCGGAGGCGGCAGCGGGGCGGATAGAGCGCCCGCGGAGCGTGCTGCCTGGCTGAGGGAGCGGCATGGAAGAGGCCAATGGAGACAGCGATGGGGAGGAGAGAGCGCCGGCGGAGTGCACGTCTTGCGGCTGGGCAGCAACTCGGGAGTCGGCTGGAGGCTTGACGGGTCGGCTGGAAGGAGAACGAGGTGGTGCCTGTGCGGGGGCCACCTCGCGGCAGGGTTTGTGGGCCATTGGCCCGACACGGCATCTTCATAGTGGGGGGAGTCTGTGAAGGGCAAAGCCCTGCTGCGGTTTTCGGGGGCTGAGGGAGCGTGGTAGGTCTTCAGCCCTATGACAGGGAGTAAAAAAGAAGGCACAGTTGAGGGAAGGGGCTCCGGTACCTGTCTCCCGCTATCCCGGCACAGCTGTCGGCCTCGGCACCTTCCTCTCCACGTCGCCGCCCGTTCCGCTTCTGCCGCGTCACGACCAGCCGGCTGTTTCTCCCCAGCGGTCGTTTTTTTGAATGGTACAAGTTTTTATAAATGTTTGCGTGAAGCAAAGAAGAGGAAAGATGGCGTCCACAAAACAAAAGATGAGCAAAAACAAGGACGATGTGCCCTGTGAATTGGAGAGCCAGTCCATACTCCGACTGCCTCCGGAATATGCTTCTACTGTACGGAGGGCAGTCCAGTCCGGAAGTGTTGCCCTGAAGAACCAGCTCACCATTGAGTTGCATGCAGATGGGCGCCATGGGATCTTGCATGTTGACTGTGTCCTGTTAGCTGCCAAGCTGGTGGACTTGCCTTGCATCATAGAGAGCCTAAAAACCATTGATAAGAAAACTTTCTATAAGACTGCAGATGTTTGTCAGATGCTTGTGTGCACTGTGGATGGTGAATTGTACCCCCCTTTGGAAGAGCCAGCTGCAAGTACAGACCCTAGAGCCAACAAGAAGAAGGACAAGGATCGGGAGAAGTTCATTTGGAACCACGGCATCACTCTCCCATTGAAGAACGTGAGGAAGAGGCGGTTTAGAAAGACAGCCAAGAAGAAGTACATCGAGTCTCCTGATGTGGAGAAGGAAGTGAAGTGCCTGCTGAGCATGGATGCTGAAGCTGTCAGTGTCCGCTGGGAAATCATTGCAGAAGATGAAACAAAAGAAGCAGACCACCATGGTTCCCTCACAGGCTTGGATATTTCTTCCCCGGGGATGTCCGGACACAAGCAGGGCCACGGTTCATCAGAACATGATGAACTCAGAGAGATATTTATTGACATCAGTAGCAGTAGTGAAGATGAAGACGAGAGGGATCACCATGACGATGAAGACCTAAACATCATAGATACAGAAGAAGATCTGGAGAGGAGGTTGCAAGGCAAGCTGAACGAATCAGATGGACAGCAGCAAGAAAATGAAGGGACCAACCAGATAGCACTGGGGATCCAGAAGCAGATCGACAATCTGAAAGACACGCTTCAAGAGACTCAGGAGCGCAGGAAGCGCCAAGAAGATCTCATTATGAGGGTAGAGAACCTGGCTCTCAAGACCCGTCTCCAAGCTGTGCTGGATGAGTTCAAACAGCAAGAAGAGCGTGAGAAGCAGGAGTTGGCCTCTCTTCAGGAGCAGCTGGAAGCCCTCATGGAGAAGTGAGGCTGGAGCTGAAACCCCCCCTCCCGGGGCAGCACCAGAGGCTGTGTCATCTAGAAAGTTCTGGAACCTTCCTTTGGAACTCAACAGCATTTCATGACTGACCAACAGGCTCCTGTTCGTGGTCTGCCTTCTTTCAGGAGCTAAAAAAAAGAACACCACTTGGCAAAAAATAACTCACAAGCAAATAAGCAAATATATAATGATCCAATAAGCATAACAGCAAGTATAATGTAAATCAAATAAGCATAACAACAAGTATGATATAAATCAATTGGCCAAAGTGCAATGATAAATCATAATAGAAACAGTCACATTCTTCTCCAGCATAGAAGCAATATCAAAGTCCAAATTGGAGTGCCAATCATCAAATTTTCTGAGCCATCAAAAGCCTCTGAGCCATCAAAAGCCAACGCATAATCCGGATGCCTGAAGCCGCGTTTCGAATTATTCTTATTCAAGCATGGCTGTAATGGGACCCAGTCTCAAAAGCTGGCATATGCTAAGCCAGAATGGTCAGTCAACGAGGCGAACAGGGAGTTACAAAGGATTCTGGAGGGTGGTTTGGGCATCTTTTTGCCTCACCCTGCTCTCCATGTCGGGAGGGCCGAGCTGTACAGGCAGGATGGGATCCACCTGTCGGATATGGGCATGGATATCTTTCTGGACGACCTGCGGCAAGGGATTCGGCGGGCCTTGGGCCCCCCTTGGCATTGGTGGGGTTATAGATGGTATATAGCTTGCATCATGGTGAGCACCAACTGACACCCATTATTTGGGTTCAATGAGTCATGTGAGTACAGTCTTTGTTCCTTGCAGCATGGGGCAGGGAAAGCTGACTGCCTTTGGGATCACCCCGTTTTGGGTCCTCCCTTTGAGCCTAGTGGCTCGGTGGTTGGGCCTAAGGGGTTATCCCGCAATGGTTAGCCGGCCGGGTGTGAGCCACTGCTATTGGGTACCACCTGGGGCAGGGTGGCTCGCCCTAATTCATGAGTTAAGGAAGAGTTCATTGACCCCTGGCCTTGACCATACCGCAATAAGTCATTTTTGCCCTTGCCATTGGTTCCAGAAAGGTTGTAGTTAATAAAGTGGCCCAAAGTTAAAACCCAGCAACGTGTCTGCCTTGTTATTCCATCTTGGGGGGCAATAACTGTTTTAAGTTAATATCGAAGGAGACAGGATTTCCTATTCAGGCAGAAAGAAGCCATGATCTAATTAACATTTATTTAGGGAGTCTGACTGCTGAACAAAATCAATACCTGTAAAGATTTAAGATTGCCTGTTTTAACAACCCATTTGTCATCTTGTTTCTCTAATATTGGACATCTATAACAAACTGAAAAATCACATGGAACCTTGAAATGTCTAATTTAGCTTAAATACAATAAAATCTCTAGTTATCTTTGCTATAGGACCCATCACATTCAAAACAGAGATAAATATCACTATCTTCAAAATGTCAGTAAAACAAAATGCATTCAAGTTGGAAGAACATCAGGAAATCAATTTCTGAGTAATTTCCCCCAACAAACTGTTAGACATTTTAAAAAACTAACAAAAAACAGGTATTGTGGAGTACAAACAGACTGTCCCTCCCACACAGCTGATTATCTTTATAATCGGTATTTGCATTGTGTGGCTGGAGACTAAAGAATCTATGGGGGCTGCAATTATACCACAGCTCTCACAGCTTTGCAAGAAGGCCAGATTTACTGTAAAATTAAGGTGGCTCGTGATGAAACAGCTTAACGATATTATTAGCAATTTGGAGCAGCAGAGAGTGGCTCAATTCATGAAATAATAAGAGGATGTTTCATACAATCAATTATTAATGTGTGAATAAAATATATATATGTCTTTGCCTTTGATAGAGGAGCATTTACTGCCCTATCAGTGGAAATAGACCATTTTCATCAAGATGTGAGGACCCATAGGGCAGCTCTATTTGTATTTGAGGGGGGAGTTATGTGGGGTGAATTGAAAACATGTTTCACCACCAAATCCATTCTACTGGCAGACATTTAGCAATAAATTAATAATAAGTCCCAGTTTGCCATATGCTTCTGTGAAAGTGAAGATTCGGGGTGAAAATGCTTGTGTCTGGCAAGAAGATCTAGTTTATTAGAAGAGAGGAATAGAATACTGTGTAAAAATTCTGTCAAATCCTTCATCTATGTTTGTACCTTGTATTTTACTTTAAAATTAGTTAATCTTTGATTTTACTGCTGTGGAATTTAACCACATCTGCTAACTCCCTCCACTTTGGTGGCTCTTGTATAGGGCTCAAGCTGAGCTGAATATTTACCTGAATAATGCCTTATTGACATTATTAGGGTAAGCTGAATATGATTCTCTGGTGTGTATTCGGCAGCCAAATAGAGAATTCTGAATACTCTACAGGTTTATTCGGCTTTATCCGGCTTTATCAGGCTTTGCCAAATAGCAGTTGTGGGGAGGGTTAAACATTAAAGGGATATACTCACCTTCCCTTTCTTGCTCTTTTCCATAATTTGCTCTAATCTCCAGGGCAATAGGGGGAGGGGGATCTCTGCCACAGACCAATTGCAAAAGCCTCTTAGGGGGAGCTTAGAGCCAATCTAACCTGGTCCAACCTTTTTGAAACTTGGGGGTTCTTTGGGTGAGAGGCTCCAGCAGGTACAGTACAAATTTGGCACCTCTACCTCCAACCCCCTCCCCTCAACCCACTAAAAATACCCTAGGAGATTTGCCATTGACTATAATGGCCTGATATGATATAATATTGCTGAATATATTTGGGAATCCCGAATACCAATACAATACCGGTATTGGTATTCAGGAATATTTGGGTATAGCAAACATATTATCTATTTATGTATTTATTTATTTCAATTTATATCTCACTATCCCTGAAACTGGATTAGAGTGGGTGACAACAATTTGTAAAAAAAATATACATTTTAAAAACTTTCCAGCATTACAAAAAACAATTAATCATGTTCAATAAATACTATAAAATCACTAAAACTATACCGTTTTAAGATGGAGTAAAAATGCTGATGGAGGGCAATGTACAGGCGTCTGATCAAAGGAGAAAAGGTGGGGGAAATAGGGGAGAGAGAGCGGAGAAGATATTGGATTTATACCCCACCCTTCACTACTTGAAGGAGTCTCAGAGCAGCTTACAATCTCCTTTCCCTTCCTCTCCCCACAACAGACACCCTGTGAGGTAGGTGGGGCTGAGAGAGCTCTTTTGAGAACTGTTCTTGAGAGAACAGCTCTGAAAGAACTTTTAACTGATCCAATGTCACACCAGCAGCTGCATGTGGATGAGTGGGGACTTAAACCTGGTTTTCCCAGAGAGCACACTCCTAACCACTACACCAAACTGGCCCAATCCAGCTGTCTGTGAAGATCATCTGTGAAAGCGACCAAAGTCATCTTTGTCCCATGGCCAGGGCAAAAACTAGATTGGAAGGGATCCAGGGTTGAGGTATAATCCAAGAAAGCCTGGAGCTGCTCTTCTACCACTCTGTCAACTAGTTTTCCCAGGAATGGTAAATTTGACACTGGGTGGTAGTTGGCCAGATCACTAGAGGGGAAGAAACTAGATAAGCCTCAAGGAAAGTCCTGCATAGAGCAAGTTACAGTAATCCAGCCTAGAGGTGACCATTGCATGGATCACCATGGCTAGGTCAGAGGGCAACAGTTATGGAGCTAACTGCTTTATCTGGCAAAGATGGTAGAATGCCAGCTTAATCACCTTGGTGACCTGGGCCTCCATTGAAAGGGAAACATCCAGGATCACTCCCAAACTCCTGACGAATGGCCCAGCTGTTAGCAGTGCCCCATCAAGAGAGGGAAGTTGACAATCCATCCCACCCCCCTGGCCCAGCCACAGGACCTCCATCTTTGATGGATTTAGTTTCAGCCTGCTCTGTTTTAACCAACCGACCATGGCCTCCAAACCCCTGGCCAGATTTTCTGGGGTGGCCTCCAGCTGGCCACTCATCAACAGATACAGCTGGGTTTCATCAGCATACTGGTGACACCCAAGCCCATAATCCCACACAAACTGGGCAAGGGAGTGCATAAAGATATTAAAAAATACTGGGGAGAGGATAGCCCCTTGAGAGAGAGCCAGTTTGGTGTAGTGGTTGAGTGCACGGACTCTAATCTGGGAGAACCGGGTTTGATTCCCCACTCCTCCACTTGCACCTGCTGATGTGACCTTGGGTCAGTCACAAGCTCTGGCACAGCTGTCCTTGAAAAAGAGCCGTTTGTGTCAGAGTTCTCTCAGCCCCACCCACCTCACAGGGTGTCTGTTGTGGGGAGGGGAAGGGAAAGGAGTTTGTAAGCCGCTCTGAGACTCCAAGTGAAGGGCGGGGTATAAATCCAATCTCTTCTTCTTCTTCTTCTTCTTCTTGAGGGACTCCACATACCAATGAGTATCATGGCGAAACCCTAGTGCCATCATCTGACCCAACCTTGGAGAAAGGAGATGAACCACTGAAAGGCTGTCCCCAAATCCCCCACATTGTTGAGGTGGTGGGTCAGTAGATTGTAATCAACCATGTCAAATGCTGCTGACAAGCAATATCAGCAATGCTGACCTACCTCTATCCAGCTGTCTGCAGAGATCATCTATGATAGCGACCAAAGCCATCTCCGTTCCATGGCCAGGGTGGAAACTGGATTGGAAGGGATCCAGGGCTGAGGTTTAATCCAAGAAAGCCTGGAGCTGCTCTTCTACTGATCTCTCAACTACCTTTCCCAGGAATGGTAAGTTCGACACTGAGTGGTAATTGGCCAGATCACTAGGATCTAACAATTTTTTTTCAAGAGCAGTCTAACCATTGCCTCTTTTAAACTCCCTGGGAAGAACCCTAAACTCAGGGACAGATTTATAATGTCCACCAGGGGAGCCCATGTTCCATCACCGCCATCCTTAACCAGCCATATTGGACACAGGTCAAAGAGGCAAGTGGTAGGCTTCACAGTATCCAGGATCTTGTCTACCTCAGCCTGTGAGAGCTGGC